TTTTTTTTTTTTTTTTTTTTTTTTTTTTTTGATGTGGACCATTTTTAAAGACTTTATTGAATTTGTTACTATATTGCTTCTGTTTTACGTTTTGGTTGTTTGGCCACAAGGCATGTGGGATCTTAGCTCCCCAACCAGGGATTGAACACGCACCCCCTGAACTGGAAGGCAAAGCCCTAACCACTGGACCACCAGGGAAGTCCCTCCGAAATTTTCGACTGTGAGAATCTCTCATAAGGCTAAAATATATTCATGGACTCCTGGAGTCCATTGATTAGGAAAATCATAGTAACCAAAGTGTTCCTATGAATTTAGTGGTAGCTTTAAATAATTCTGTTTTTTAATCTACCAACAGCAATGGAATTATCTATGAGTATAAATAAATAATTTACTCAGATAGATTGGTGCACGTGTGAACTTTCAGACCACAGTGCTAGTAATAATATTTTAGTAGTATTTATTATTAATAATAGGTAACAGGTATTGGGTCGAAACAATGTGCTAAATCCTTTACGTATACTATCTCCTTATTCTTCACATTAACCCCAAATGGTAGATAATCTTACTTTTCCCACTTTACACATTAGGAAACCAATGTCTAAAGAAATTAATTGACTTGCTTGGGGTTTACAGCTGAACCCAATGCAGAAACGCCAGGGCCCTCCAAGCCAGCCTCCTTCCACGGGTTCACAGCCTCAACTCTAACTTCATGACACTGAGACCAACCCCAGACCAACCCCTTCTTTGCCTAGCCAAATTCTCTTCATCACCTCAAGCTCAATTCAGAAACCGACTCCTCTTTCTACCAGCTTTCTCTAAATCTCTCTCCTAAGCTGCCCTTTCCCATATTACCACTGTGACAATTATTTCTTACTTTCAATTTAGTACCTTTTCTTAAGTCCCTACCCAGGGCAAGGCACTGGCTTAGCCCTTGCCCGGGATATCAGGAAGATCAGGACAGAGCTTACAGTCTGCTAATGGATGTAGGACAGTTTCATAAATCACTGTTGTTTAAGTCGGAACATTATCAATTCTAGCTAGCTGGAAAGAGCACCAAACAGGTCTAGTGGAAAGTATGCTGTATTGGGGGCAAAACCGAACCTAGTTCTGTTATTTACCAGTTACGCAAGCTGGCACCTGTTACTTAAGTTCTGAGCCTCCGTCATTTCCTCTTCTGTACACTACGTAAAGACAGGGGTAAGGACAGTTAAAAGGCCATCTCAAGAGCGCAGGCCAGGGTACTAAGGCCTGGAGAAAGGAGATACAAGTGTTCAGCCAGGAGATGCTCTTAAGACTTGGCATCTAATGGAAGGCCAGAGGCAAAATAGACGAAGAGTTAAAAGATTTGCTTGTGGTTCAGAGCCTTGTTCACGCTTGCAAGGATGCTGTCACAAACAGAGGAAAGGATGGAAGTCCCTGAATCGTGGTAGCAAAGGAAGGTTTGGTTTTGGACTCTGCAAAGATTGTTAACTTTTCATGCAGAAGCAGTGTACACCTGCCCAGCTCAGAGGCTGGGGACCATGTTCTCAGTCAACAGCCATGTATTAGTTCAGGCCGCCATAACAAATTACACAGACGGGGTGGCCTAAATAACAGAAATTTCTTTTCTCATAGTTCTGAAGACTAGAAGTCCAAGATCAAGGTTCCAGCTGATTTGGTTCCTGGTGAGAGCTCTCTTCCTGGCTTGCAGAAGACTGCCTTTTGGCTATGTCCTCAGTGCTAGTGTCACAGACAGAACGCTAAGCTCTCTGGTATTTCTTCTTATAAGGACATCCATCCTATCAGATCAGGGTCCCACCCCTATGACCTTATGAATTTAACCTTAATTATTTCCCTAGTGGCCCCATCTCCAAATACAGCCACAATGGAGGTTAGGGTTTCAACATACAGGGTTGGAGTAGGAGGAGACACATTCAGTCCATAACAAGCCATGTGTCCTACGTGACACTGGGAAGCAGATTTGTCAGGGCCTTGTCCTCCAGCATCTGTTTGAGAACACAAATAAACCCATCCAAAAAGATTATCAAGTTCATAATTTGGAAAATAAATAACAATCTGGCATTTTAGGCTGGAGGAAAAAATAGCTTGCTTGGACAAAGAATGAGGAGTTGAGAGAATGAGGAAACCGGCCACACTGGGCAAGAGGACTCAGTTCGGAGAAAGCCAGGCAGGTTAGGTGGGACCAGACGACAAAACCAAGGCCTGGGCAGAACCCGGATTATCAGTCAAGTCAAGAACTTTACACATTAGGAAATGTGTAAAGCCTTGGCCTTGGAGAGCTCAGATGGCAGGTGAGAGGCTCTTGAGTTCAGCAAGCCATGGATACAAATATGCATCTTCCCAGTGTACACTGGCAGTCATCTCCCCTCCAGTCACAGAAATTCCAGAGGAAGCTTAATTATGCAAGAGGTGGACAATGACAGTCCCCCAGACATCACTTTACTTATTTCCTCATTTTTTCTTTGTTGCAAAAATGTTGGTAGAAGTTGATTTTCAACCTCAGAATGGGGCAGGGGAAGGGGGGGGCCACAGAGCCATGAAACTGGACTGCATGAATGTAATTCAAGGGCTCAGGATCATTGAAGACTTAAGAGCAACTGGAAATAAACGATGGAAGTAGTGATCAGCAAGGGGAATTGAGTCGAACAAGGAAACGAGGGTGAGATATGTTCAGAAGCTCAGAAAGGGAAAAGCAGAGGTTTAGGAGTCAGAGATCTGAGTTCTGACGGACAAAGTGTTCAAATGCTCACCCTCCCTGCCCCTCAGTTTTCTAACACCCGGGACTGGGTGGAAATGATTGAAAAGCCCTCTTGGGATGTTAGAGACTCAGATTTATAGAAACCTGGCCTCAGCCCTGGAACTGTTCACACCTCCTAGCCGAGTAGAAGAGGGTTGACATGAGCAATGAAAGTTAGTAGAACACGTGGCATGCTGGAGATTCAGCAGCCAAGCTCAGCCATTTAAAGGCCATCTTTGAGCACTGGGAGAGAATCTTTTTAAACTAGTCTATCAGTTGAATTAAAAGGAAGTAACTCCTCTAGTGCACAACAGGATGGAGGGCTTGGGGTGCAGAAGCAGATCAGAGGGTAACAAAAGAAGAAGCAGGGCTTCCCTGGCGGTGGTTAAGAATCCGCCTGCCAATGCAGGGGACACAAGTTCGAGCC